GTCACCTTTGAAGCGACACTTTTTTGACATTTGGCAAATAAAAACTAAGGCAGAGATAGTTCGTGAGACTAAAAGATTTATCGGTCGTCATAATACAAGCAAAACTGTCGAATCGGGGGCTCGTTTTTCATTATTACATATTATTTTGGTGAATGGGTTGCACTATCGGGAGATGATTAATGATTGTTTTTGACCGGAAATGGATGGTATTGATGTGGACAACTTTTATTTTCAACAAAACGGTGCTATATACCGTATAAGCAACGAAACCATCGAAGAGTTAACCGCAACCGAGATCTTGCGATTTAACACTTGGTGACTTCATCCTTTGGGCCCAAGTGACAAATAAGGGTGGAATTCGTGAAGCTATTGAGGGCATAAAGCAGGAATTTCGCGATTTGGTGATGGAAAATTTCATAAAACTGAGACGATTGTGTAAGTGTAGCCTTTGGGGCCATTTGGCTGATATTGTTTTCCATTATTAATGGCTTATTTTCCTATTTACATTGAAACAAAAATCTGATCATTTATCTAAAATTTTGAATTTGATTAATAATAATTAATAATAACATTTCTTATTGAAAAACCCGCTTATATTATTAGTAATAAATTATTTATATTAATACAAATGCATATGATATATATTATGATTTCCTAGCTTTTAACTAAAGTACTGCACGGAGTATCTTTGTGGAGTAGCTTCAAGACTAATTTCTTATAGTTTTGGACTACTCTATTGGCCGTGTGGAGTATATATTTCACGTGTACAAGGAGTAGCCCTTGAATGAAGTTTTGGCACACGCATATTTTAAACTTTTTGCTACTTAGGAGCGTTGTACGACGCATAGATCCCTACGCAATTGGCGTAACTCTTTGACTGCCATTCACCGAGGATTGACCAGAACGATTTTTGATATGTGGTTCAATCATCTCACGACGACAATATCTGCCATTTAAAGGCGAGTTAATATAAGGTAACTGATCTCCCGTATGGTGTGGTAATGTTTGGAACCCACGACATGCGAAAATCTTCTTCAATTAGAAAACCAGGAGCCTCGAAGGACTTTTGACTACGACGACTGCAAGAGCTTATTGGGTAGCAAAGATATGCAAACATATGTAATGTGTGATTCACTATACGTAAGGTTATAGATTCAAATCTGGCCAGACCAACAAGTAAAAATATAGCAAATAAATTTTTAATTAATTTGTTAAATGGCATTTGCCCCTCTGCTGAGAATGTTAACCCCCCTCCGAGTGTATGTCTGACTTGAAATAAAATCTCCTCATATAAAACCCATCAGTCGTTTGGATTAGGATTACAATAAACTATAGGCCCTCAATTTCTTGGGAAAACATCAAGATACCGAATAAAAGAAATTATAGAATGAACGAGCTGTACGAGATATGAACGTTACGTTTAACACGATATTTAGTGCGGATTGGAGAAAGCATTCAAGTGTGCCACTAATATAAGGAAGTAGATGATGGATACTGACTGACTGACTGCACTTGATGTCTTCAATTGGCGTCTAATACAAAATAAGGAACGCGGCAATCGTTGGTTTGATTCGGCTAAGTTCGCGGAAGCAGTATCTATGCTTAGCCTAAAGAAGAATATAATGGTTGCCTTTAATATTTCGGGATTTGGCAACCCATTGTTGCAATCTAGCCACTAGCTCGTAAAGCTTTACATTTTCTATTTTATGCATACTCAGAATGAATATATAGGTAACGTTATAGTAGCACCCGATGAATTGAGGTAAATTTTTGGTGACGAAGCTCCATCGAGGACAAGTATTTTTAGATGATATAGTGAATTCAATCGGAGCCGTAGTGGTGCTCTGCGCAAACCTATATCTATCGTGAAAGATGATACCAAGGACTGTGGAATGAATGCATGATGAGCTATTTTTGTTGGACTCTAATACCTGAAACAGATCCCAAGTCGTTGTATCTTTCTCAATATCTAAATTTCTCATATTAATTTAATAAAAATGTTCATAAATTCCAAAAAATCATATAAAATTAGTTTATCGGCTATATCAAAAACTAGAAGACAACTGAAAATAAATAAATAAAAAATGGAGTGAAGATTCGGACTCAGCACCATTAATTATCATAGAAACAACTTTTGCTTGCTTAGGCTCAAAACTGTTTATACTTGTGTAATTTAACGGTTAAAATGTGTCAATATGTTTTTCTAGTTTAGAAGCAAAGTAAAACAAATTCCTTTTCATTGAATACTATCCTGAACAAAGGTCGAATGAAAAGTGAAATTAAACAACTGAAAATCTAACATTGTTGTGAAAATAATATTGAATTTAGTTTGTTATGAAAAAGGATGTATGTAAATATTTGTGTTAAAATTTATTCACAATTCAAAAATGTTATTAACACAATTATTTTTCATTCTAAAATTTCCTTTCCATTTTTCGCACAAATTTTATATTTGAATTCAGCATACCAGCTTCAATTAAATTCCTTAACTGTATTTAATGTAAAAATTCCACTGACTTATGTATGTAGGTAAACGAAATGTGTAAAATTGCCTACATATATGTATGTGATAAGTTACATGCATTTATATATGTAAGTTTATGTGTAGTACAAATTGTAATTGAGTATGTTGCACCTTGTTGGCTTTGGCAAGGTTTTATAAAAATATGTTTGTAAATAATGAACTTTACTCAAATGTACCTGAATATGTACATATGTATAAGCAAATATGTGGACTGCTTCTATATTTTCACAGGTAGTTGTGTACATTTCATTAATAGTTACGATGCGCAAATATTTTTTTTATATTTTTATTTTTGATGCTAACAGTTTGATCAAACAATGTTCGATGATCAGGGGACAGACCACTGACCCCCACACATATGAAGTAATGCTGCAGGTAAGAATATTAATTGTTGACTAAAATCTAATTAGCTTCTATTTGTGTTATTTTTAACATGGTGAGTGTTACGAACTTTCAATTGTCCGCTTATGCTTCAATTTCATACTTCTTAAAGAGTACCTCATATCTATATGTTGCATTTCTACTTCAACAAAAAAAAAAAATATAAATAAATGTTTCCTACTCTGAAACGTGAATTTCAAGCAGGCCAGTCACAACCACTAACCACCCAGCTAACATGTCGATGATACTAGCAGTGACGTATAGCCCACCTCAACAGAGCATAACAAAAAACATAACATACGAGGTGTGAGAATTAAATAATGAGACTGATTCTGATTTCAAAATTATTCTACAACTCTGCCATCCCCTTCAAATTAGTCCTCGCGGACAGCTATTCAACAATTCCAGTGCGTTTTCCATGCTTCCTAACATTTCTGGAACGCTTCCACTGGGATGTTTGCGAGTACCCTCCTCACGGCCACTTGGATGTCCTCAATCGACTCAAAATGTGTTCCTTTGACCATCGATTTAGTTCTAAGGAATAAAAAGAAGCCACAAGGTGACATATCTGGCGAATAAGTTGGTTGTTGCAACACGACGATCCCTTTAGAGGTCAAATACTGGGACGCACTGGGGACCCAGCTACGAGAGATGTCTGGGCGCACCCTGTTGATCCGTTTTCCTAATTAACGAGTACTTGGCGATAGTTGACTTGATTTACGGTTCGCCCGGGTGGAAGAAATTCTTTATGGACTACTCTACGGTTATCAAAAAAGGCAATAATTATCGTTTTTCACGGCTCGTCTTCCATGTTTTCACGCCCCTCCTCAAATTCCTTATGCCATTGAAATATCTGGGCACGACTAAGAGCACAATCACCATGCACTTTTACAGCTTTCTCGTACGTTATCGAAGCTTTTTCGCCCGATTTGGCACAAAATTTAATCTCGACGCGTTGCTCTTGAATTCGTTTTTCCATTTTCGTGAGGGGCACCACGACATAGCAAGCGAACTAAACAAGCTAGAGCGATGGCAAATATTTATATCAATGGAGAGGAGAAGGATGCCGAAGATAATGTAAACAGATAATGTAAACAGTTCCATTACTTAATCGTCATACCTCGTAATGTGGCATGTTTGTAATTAACATAACATAACTTTGGCGGAGAACTAGAAATTCTTATTATTCCCATCACAGGTGAAAACCTGAAAAACCAGAAAACTTTGGAAACAAATATCTTACAGAATGGGCAAATAGAATTTTTTCGCGAACTAGGCTCCCTGCGGACAAGCTTCCAGTAGTGCCGAGGTACTTTTCAATCAGATTGATTTGAGTACATGCAAGGTGTCGACATAAAAGGTCCTCTCAATATGCCAGGAAAAGAATCATATTTTTATGCTTGTGTGATGAGTCCAAATCCAATGGTTACATTTCCCTCTTACACTAAACAGCTACAGATTGGCTCATCAGCTGCTATAAAATATATTGAAAATTCTTCAAAGCTCTTAGCAAGTAGGTTCTGATACAGGAAAACGAATCTGAGGAATTAATGTTGGCGGAAAGGGCCTAAAGTGTCTAGATGATCTTAAAGGGATGATAAAGTGAAACTCGCCAAGTTCGTATGGGCTTGTAACACCTCTTGTCAATTTAGTATTGTATTGTTGGCATTTTAATGAGCGCCAAAAAACTTTTGTGAGGACGGAGACTCTCATTCGTATCCCAGTTTAAATTTCTTACGCGAGTAGTAGGAATTGTTTCTGCATAGATTCCAATTTAGCCCTAAACCATTGATGGTGTGGACACTATACAACTGAGCCATATTTCAAAATGAGCCATTGAACTCCTTAGATTCAGCGATTACCCTTTTAACTAAATTTGTTATTGTTCGAGCCTTCTTTGCTTAGACTTGCGATATTGTATTTCTTCTTTATGTTCACGGCCTTTTGCATTTTGCATATAACAAGTCGTGGGTTTATAAAAATTAAAAAAATCATCATATTTTTAATTTAAAAATATTTTGAAACTCGCTGATGCGTGGCAGAGTACTTTTTTTAGTTTATCATTGTTATTGTTTTTTTTATTACCAATACTTACATGTGTAAAGTAATAATAGTGCACAGAAGCTCCTCGTTCAGCTAACACTTGGGCATATTCATTAGTCGGGCAGGTGAAGAAGTGATCGCCAACTGCACGTCCAATCTGCTGTTGATTCTCTAAGCCAGGGTTACCAACCCAACTTGTGTGCTGAAATAATAAATCATATTATTTTTATTAATTATGGCTTAAGATGAAGGTCCGATAGTTTATATTATAATATATACATATGTTATAAATAATGTTATAACGTAAAAGGTTGACCAAAATCTTAAGAAATTTTAATGTACTGGGAGAATTTAAGCCCTGCAAAAAAAACTTGTATCAAGTTAGTAAATCTTGTACTACTAATTTTAATTTAATTCAAGTAAAAAACATTATGTTGGAGATTAGAAAGATTAGACTTAACAGAGCCCCACAAAAATAGTCTAAATACGTTGCGTCACACGATCTAGGGGCCAATCGAAAAAGTATGATATCATCTCAAGGTGGCACTCACCATTCACAGTTACGTTACGATTCGCGTCATCTTTGAAGAAGTACGGTCCAAAGATGCCATCAGTCCGCACCAACCTGTTACTTTTTCTGGATGCATTGGTAGCTCTTGCAATGCTTCTTGCTGCACTTCCGTCCAAAATTTGCTTCCGAAATGATTCGGTACATCAGAATATTTTCGTTAATTTATGTGGCATCCACAGATCAAGCTTTTTGTGCAATGATTCGACGATTTTCATCATTTTATTGAATTTTCGACCATTTGCCTCCCCACCTCCTTAGATATGCGACCAACACTTCTCCCTTTGTCTTTTTTAGAACCAAATCTCAACTTTTTAATGCCACCCAGCGTAGTCCAATCGAACTTATACTCGTACAGGGTTTTCCAATAAATGTGTTATTTTAATATTCAAATAAACACGTAGCATTATCATGTTGAAAGTAAACTTTGCTTCACTCGTAAAAAAATCATTAATCATCTATCGATAGCGCAATCCATTCATTTCCGAAAAATAAAGGTCAAATGACCCTGCTGGACCATAAACTACATAAAAATTTGAAAGGTTAGTCAGACAGTTGCGCTTATAGATGTAGCTATCAAGGTGTAACTGGGCCTCGTTAGTCAATATAATTTTTCGATGAAATTTTTTTATTGAATTTTAATTATTTCATTGCGTTGTTGAAGCGTGAATCGTTCCATTTTTCATTCAAAATAACATCTCTTATTGGAAAACCCAATTAGAACGCGGGATACATATCACTAAAGCCAACTTTTGCAAAAATAATGGATTACCATTTACTTGAGCAATATGCGAAATTTGAATTTTTTTTTTAATTTTTGGCATTAATTATAATTTCTTTGAATGTTGATCAAAAAATATCTAATAAGTTATAATTAAAAAAAATTTTTGTAGAATAATTTAAATTACATCAGTCAAGTTACCTGCGCCGCTGACTTCAATTAATGCCATTAAAATTTGCATAAAAAAAATTTAATGCTGCTGATATTTAGTCAAATCAAAAAATTACTGTGCATCAATTTTTGTAAATCATTTTATCTGGCTGACAGAACAGTGTGCTTAAAAACCGCAAGCAATTTGCTGTAATGAGTAGTTCATTTAAATATTTTAACAAATTTAAGTGGGAATCACTTCTGCATGAAGTTTTCATATAAAAATTTAAATGCTGATGGAAAGCAAATATTGTAAATACATATGTACATAAGTATAGAAAAACTTATGTACGTATCTACTGGCTTTTTAATCCACTAAGTGTCAATGAGTATATAAAACTAGATCATAATTATTGACAAATGACAACACCATTTTTATATGGTTTATGATCTTAATATATATATCTATGCGATAGGCATAAAACGATTTTCACCCGAGCTACTCCTCCAATTTGTGGTATGCTTCTTGATATTTTCGAAGAAATGCAGGAAAGGATTTTAATGATGGATTTTCATAAGGAGCCTTTTATTTCATGTCAGTGGCAACCTCAATTAGAAAAAATATTTCTTTTTTAATTTTGGATGTTGGTCAAACCAAGTCTAGAACCCTAGCCTTCCGAATGGCAGTACGCAGTGTGTATAAAATGGTATATTAATTTTTGAGGTTGATTTGTATAACATATTTGTCTAAAATTTGTCTTTCTGGACTCATATGATGCAATACATATTGGTGCTGAAAATTATCGAACTCCATTTATTATCTCATATAGCCCTTACATAACTGATTTGCTCAGATATGAGGTTTTGGGGTGCAAAACTCGTCAGCGAAGCATCTCAAAGCATGCAATTTTGTATTCTAAACACAAACAAATAAACACTGAAACAAAGATCATCGAAATCAGAAAACTAGCTTAAATGGCCAACAAAATTTTTCGTATATAAGAGAGAGTGTATCCAAATAAGAAAGTAAAACTGCGTAACACTGGTTGTGGCATTGTTGTAGCGACAGGCAAACACCTACAAACATTGAGCGATTTACTCCAAAATGTTCTTTATATAGTTGAGAGAAGTTGCAGGGATGGATGGCTAGGCGTGAGACCTGAAAAAACCGAGATGTTGTTATTTACCAGAAGGTACAAACCGCATGCCTTTAAATATCCCTAACTAAAGGGCGTGGAGATTTCCCTCTCTCCCGAAATCAACTACTTTGGGACAATCTTAGATAGCAAACCAGACTGAAGCCGGAACACGACAGAAAGATCAAGGAAAGCTATAACTGCACTCTACGCCTGCAAAACAGCGATAGGAAAGAGATGGAATTTAAGACCGTGTATCGTGCATTGGTTATGCATATCGGTAGTTTGACCAATCCTATTCTAGGAAACTACCGTCTAGTGGTCGACACTTGGTAAAATCACCTTCAGGAGCAAATTAGAGAGAGCTCAACGATTGGCGTCCATCCTGATAACGGGAGCATTGTCATCAACTCCCCCTATAGCACTGTTAACTACCTTCTCTGGCCCTATGCCGGAAACTACAAAACGCGATAAAATTGAATGCAACTCAATCTTGGAAGAATTGCAGTTTAGGACATACAATAAAATTATCTCATACAGAAGTGCCGAAGGAGCTGGACTACACCACCTCCACGAGTGAGAAAACGCCAACGCCCCCGACCAGGGAGTAATAGCCATCTTCACAGACGGCTCGAAGTTTGATGGGAGGGTGGGTTGCGGGTTGAAGCGTTTTCCAGGCGGAACTCTTCGTAATCATGGAGGCCGTGGAGTGGTTGCACAAATCTACGGCAGCAGGACAATCGGTTATAATTTACTCCGATAGTCAGGCTGCAATCAGTTCTCTTCAATGTAACGGTACCACGACAAAAGTGGCCATAAACCGTAGAAACACTCTCAACAAACTCATCAACAAACTCATCAACAAACTCATCAACAAATTCATCAACAAACTCATCAACAAACTCAACAACAAACCCTTCTATCTACGATAGAACACGCACATGATGATGGTTTTCCTCCGTCCACGGCTAAGTACATGCTTAGACTGGCCTTCACCGGGGAAGCTGATTCACGGTGGTTGAACGAGATTACGTGTAACGCGACCAGACAGCTATGGCTGAATCTAAACATCTTATCCTTCTGAGCCGGTTGTCCATTAAAAAGCGACTGGTATAATAGCTGGACTGTTGAATGGGGCGGAGCTTTTACTCTAACGATATCTGCCAAGACTGTAGGGACGAAGAGACCATCGAGCACTACCTCTGCCACTATCCAGCCTTGACATCCGTGCGACACAAATTTGCTGGGAAACTGGCTGAATTGGCCTCAGTGAACATTGGAAATCTCGGTGCTTTATAAGGCACACAAAATAGTTCCATCATTTGAGAAGGTGAAGGCTCCTGCCTCCAGCGGTATCACAATGGGCCTATTAGCCTAAGTATGCTGAGGTTGACCAGCTGCCGTATCAACTCAACTCGCATTAGAAAGTTTTAATCGACTAAACAGAGCATGAAAACAATCCCGATTTGATGGCAAGTATTTATGAACGATTAGCAGTTCAGAAAGATTTTTATAAAATACTTAATGAAGCAATATATTATTATTCATGTGAAATATACTTTCTACGTCACGAATACAATTCACCCGAGCGGTGTGAACGGATGCGTTGCCTCGAAGAAACAGCACTCCATGCGCTCACATGCCACGGCTCTTCTGTACAACTGCCTCACTTGCCTTACTCAACAAAGTAGCCTAATACTTGCCATTAACTTTTCAACAAAAAAAATTGTTGGGTACTTTCCCCTATTTTTATCCACTTCATTGACTCCTGTTTGGACTCGAGATCATACTAACGAAACTAGGTTTCATCAACTGTTACAATGCGGTTGCTAATTTCATCTTTCAATTCTCCGTTCATCGCTGCTTGTCGAGTGGCGTCAGCACTCTAATTTTTTTCATGTTCAAATATTCATGCGAAATCTATTCAGTTTTCTCTCTTCTAATCTGTAATCTTCCTGATATCTGCCACAATTTCATTCTTCGATCAGTTGGCTTTCGATTTTCTGAACATTTTCTTCGGTCACGACCACCACTAGGCGCCCAGGACGGGGGTCATCTTCACAGGTTTCCCTTCTTTGTGGAAAAACCCGAGCTCATTTTTACACCATCGTATATGTAGGGGCTGAGTCCTGTTAAACCGATCACATCTCGTTAAAAATTTCTTTCGGCGTACTTCTTGTTTTACAAAGAATTTAATTTTAACGTAGTGCTCCAAATTGTGAGAATTTCCAGTTTTTGTTGACACACTCACAATGTTGTTGCTTGTTCCAGGGACGAAATGTTAATGAACCTAATAAAAAAGGTATGCTATTTATAGTAACATTGAGTCCTGCAATTAGTTTTTCAGCAACGAGATGATGTGTCATCCCTAACTACTTTAAATCGCGAAAAGGTCAGCTGTTCCTCGCCTTTATAAGGTTAAAGTTTATAAAATTAGTAAAACAATACTATCATAATACTGGAAACAGTCAGGAACTTGTACCTGCCGGTGGCTGATTGCCGTAAATTAGGTAGAGAAACAATTTATCACCTACTGTATTATGCAAACGCCAAACATTGTAAATATATTATCACAGAAAACTTAATTTCTTCAGGAAAGTGGACTTGGACCTATTTGCTCTAGCGTA